ATACTTTTAATCTGATATTTAAAATGAAAATTCCAATTAAAGGGGTTTGGATTTCAGCTTAAATATTGCTACTGTGAATGCTAACAGTTTAATATGTTTAATGATCGATACCTCCTTCGTCTAAGCAAGACTTTCGAGCGGCATTCCAGACCCGTTTACGATTGTGGTACTTGTACGCTCCTATACCCGGCTTCATAATGTAATCGTCCCTTTCCAAAAAGCTCACACAGCTTCCGGCCCCTTTGCGCCAATTCTGCGGCGATGCATTAATAAAAAACACCTGTTGATCGGCGTGGTAATTGTAATTACCGTTCATATTAACCGTTGATACGGAGGAACCTGGAAAAAAGTGCCTCCAAGTGAGTACCTCATTTCTTTATTCTTCTCTTTATTAAAGAAAATAATTATTTGCATTTTTTTAATCAATGATTATGTCTCCCAACGAATTCGGCTTTCGATTATAAAATTAAAAACAATTTAATGTATTGCTCAAATTGAAAACTCTGTATACATATGTATATAGTAGAAATTTTGCAACGAGTTATTTAACCTTTGCCCAACCGAGGACGGGTCATCTTCGACCCACGTTTACCCACCCCTTAAATGACTCTAGTATGAAATATACTTTAGTGCATTTTGAGTTGACTCTGAGAAAGCAAAGTACACTGCGTGGAATAACTATAAAATCATCCTAAAATTTTCAATTCTTATGTGTTGTTGTTAAAATAAAAATGAACTAAGTATTAACAAAAATTGGTTCGTTCTTATTTTAATCACAATACATAAAGATTGAAAATTTTAGAGTGGTTTTATAGATATGCCACGCAGTGTATATCCTGTGAAATGCCTGACTACATAACAGAATAAAATACAATTTCACGTACACAGAGGTACATAAATAAAATAAACAGTATATATACAGTTTTCGAACTTAAATTTTCCAAAAAAAAAAAGAAATATTTACCTTCTTGACGATCAGTGGCATGAACAGTCTGATTCTCCATGGTCGCTCTCAAGATTGTTTCCCTGACTAAGTCAACGTTCGCCTGTCGACATAACACTTTGCTCGCGACGGCGAACAGAATCAACAAATATTTATGCATCTCCTTAATGGTATTCGAAAATCAACAATCCCCTACCTCCAAGTACACGATCGAATATTCCGATACTACGAAGAACTTAAATGTTCCTCTCTCGACAATATTCCAAAGTCATCAGGCTCTCTAGATGAACGTACCCTATCGACCAATGTTCTCCAATCAAATGGTTCCTTCTCCAAACCGAACCAAACTTGGGGTACACGAAAAAAAGGTTCGAAATTTCACAGTCGAAATTTTTACTCCAGACCAATCACTGGTCCACTCCGTCTGGTCTGGGTCAATTGATTCAGCAAAATTGACTCGGCAAGAATGTTCCGAAAATTTAGAATAGAAGCTTCTTTGTCCACATGGATCACAAACTCAGACTCTATATAGGTCAGGTTCACAACGCGATGGATGATGGTCAGCTGTGGCTCTCCGAGCCTGGACTGAACTGTCAGAACGTTCGCGCCGAGTGCACAATCCTTTCTTTCTCCCTCTCTTCGTTCCCTCTTTGTCGCGAGCACGCGTTTTCCTGTTGTCGTTCGGGGAACAACACCGAATTGGAAATACCAGTAAGTCTCTGCAGGGACCTTGGATAGTGTCGTGTGCATCTTTGGTTGTGAATCCGCAGAGAGAATCGACCGCTGTTGGGATCTCATGTTAGCGGCGGGGAAATTTCGGTGACTTACGTTACTTTAGACTTAGTAAAATTATTAAAGTTTCAGTCGTTTCGAGCCCACGCGTCCCATTAACGGGAAATTTGTATGGTCCACCAACGCAACATTGACTTACTCAAAGCGGAATAAAAGTTTCTAATTAATCGATTAAAAGTTCCTCATTCCAGTTAACACTTCCTACGAGAAAGTAATACCAAGCGAAACATCTTCTACAAATATCGAGTCGAAACACGTATCTAATAAGACAATGAATAATAAAATTGTCCAACGTGTGATATACCAAATCTTCTATGTACTCTTAACGTTATCTATACACCGGTAAGTCTCGTTCGTGTGACTCAGTGTACCTTATTCACGGTACGAGAAAGTGTTATCTCTCGTTTCGCATTCTGAATGCAGCGTTTGCTTACGATAAATCACATACAAAACGTCAACCAGTTTTTTCAACCTTCACCGCCCTATGGCCGTGTCAACAGTCGAACCGACGACATATCTCCAACAATTTGTTTTAACTCGCAACCATGTACTTATACTAATACTGCTAAACACTAAACATCAAGGGTGAACATCAACTGGGCCCACACAGGCCCATGAATTATAAATAATCAACAACGCATTAATAAAAAAATATAGTCTTTATTACAAAAATTGTTCCAAAAATAACATACGAATTCACCAAAAAAACAAAACTACATAACTTTGGATACACGGATTGAACTTGTAATTCATTCAAATTTACATCACCATGACAAAGTTCAATCTTTATCATGGTGTAAATAGTCCTGCTCAATATTCTAAGTAGTTCGTATTTACGGAAGGAAAAATAGCATAACCCTGATACTATCAAAGTAAACCACTTCCACACCGCGGACCTAACATTAGTACAAACATTTCGTGATCAGCGTATCGAACGACTAATCGGATCTGAAAAATTCGATCGAATCACTTATCCATCGACGATACATCAGCTTAGCAGATATGGATCTCGCAGATGGACGGGAGCTCCTTGCGGCAATCCTCGTTGCTCAATTGGCCAGTGCTCTTGAGGGCAGGGCAGTTTTCTTCCTCGCATTCCTCGTTCTCCTGGTCGCCACCCAGGTTAATTTCGGAACCACCGATCCACGCATTGTCCACGTTATTTTCCTTTAACAAATCCGTCAGGACTTTCCATTCCTCCCGTGAGTCGATCACCGCCAAGTTACCTATATCGAAAATGTCCCGTATTTACCCCTACACTTGTAACTGTTTACTATCAATCCTCGAGGTTGGCCTTGGGCTTCTTCGGGGTTAGCTAATGTGAACGTGTTGATATTTTTTCTAGAGATGATCGATGGTAATTATGAAGGGACATCCTAGATCTTTGCGAACGAAGGTAGTTAATTGAAAGCTTAGGTGATAATGGACACAGTCGAGCTAGAATATTGTTCCCATTTCGTCATGGATTAGGCTATTTTGTTAACGATTTTGAATTGTGTTGAAGATGGTGGCTCATTTCTGAGGATCTGTTACCAAAAATTAGGAATAGTGAACGTGTTTAGTGAATGAACGAAAACAATCTGATACAGTATTGCTACTGCCAGATAAATTCCCAGGCAGCAATAGTTACGGTCGTATTGGTGAATATGAAACCCTGTTGGCTGCTTTAGTACAATGAAAAAGAACTGATTATAGACACAAATAGTGGTGGATTTTAATGATCTCGATCGGATAGATGATTCTGTTATAGAAAAGTGTATGAATCACCTGCTTCCTTTCGGCAAGCCCTGCCTGCAAATTCCGCGGTTCGGTTTGTAAGAACCAGTGTGTGTCGCGAGCAAGGATTTGGTGTATTTCCGTTACCATTGCCATTATCATCACAGTCGTCGGGGTTTTTTGTGGATCCGTTACCATTTCCGTTACCATTTCCATTATCATCGCAGTCGTCGGGATTTTTCGAGGACCCGTTGTTACCATTTCCGTTACCATTTCCATTATCATCATCACAGTCGTCAGACTTTGTAGTTCCGTTACCGTCAGTGCAGTCGTCAGTCGTTGGTGTTGTTTCGGGAGGCTTTGTAACACCTACAGATACATAGAAACTTGTTAAAGGCAATACAGAAATGGGTACTCCGGTACCCTTGTTTTCCACACAAGGGTTAATAGAAAGGTTCTTCTACGGGCAAGAATAAAAAATCGTAAAATACCAGCAAGCACGGCCGCCGTCGCGATGATCAGAACGAGTAACACTTCTTTGTGCATGTTGTTTAGTTCTCTGTAGTGTTGTCGGTTGAACTGTCACCAAATGATTGTGTCAAAGAACCGTAAAACCGATCTTTTTATACTGGTCCACTGCCGTATTGCTGCGGCCGATAAGATAACGAATGGTGTATCAGGTATTAACATAATTTCACGTTATTTTCGTCGTGGGTGGGATTATTCTTTCTGTATTTGCGAAACGAAAGATTTCTGATCCTGTTTGCTCTATGGTACGGTCCAATTTCTGCTCGAAACGAAACGTACGTCGATACTTTCGAAATCCGATGATTTTTCTTTCCGACATTTAAAGTGAAAATATGCAATTCTGAATGCGCATCTTGCAATTTTACGTACTTTCTTTGGCGGTGTCGGACTATGAAGTTCAAAAAAGAAACTTATTTTCCAATGGTCTAATATTTACACGATTGTCAATGATATCGTTTAAAAATTGACTGTGTTTATATATGTATGGTGATCTCTTCGCTGCACAAAATAAAATCTCTCTGTCATAGCAAAATTAAAATCGATGAAGATGATAAAGAATAAAAAGTGTTGATTGTTGATCTAAAAATAGTCTATTATTTCAAAAATACAGATAAAACAAATACTATCACACTAACAATTGCAGTGTAGACTACCTTCACCATATTTTTTATAAAGGTTATTATTTACAGTGACATTTTTTAACGCTAGTTCTTCCTTCTGCTGCGTTTAGTACCACAAGTAATCCTTCAATATTATTAACACAGACGGAAAATCACATTCTATATGAAAAAATTAAGATAACATAGAATATAATTTTTAAGCAGTAGTTTCACTTTCGAGACGTAATATTCCTCCTACAAGATCGTATTCTTAAGATTCGATCACAATATCGAAATTGACCCAACCTCCAAGCAGACAGTTCTAACTCCCGAAAGACAAACCGACACAGTTTCGTTCAAGCAACTTTAATAGCAAAATCAGATACACGTTCACAGTTCAATGTCGTAATTCCCTAGCTGTCCAATTCGTTCGACACCGTCGGCTCGGTTCCCCAAAAACGTGCACCTCGAGGAACAAAATGGCGGCAGGGAGGCGTTTAGTAAATGTCGACTTCGCAGATGAACGGATAATTCAGGGTGCACACCTCGTCGTTGATCCCACCTTGTCTCCCCAGGGTGCCGCAGTTCTCCCTTCCGTTGTGATTGTCAGGCTGATTCGGTAAAATCGTGGACCATTTCTCGTAACCGGCTCTCTCCAACGACTCCCCGGTCAGTGTGACCCATTCGCCCTCTCTGAACATATCGTGGGCGCCCACCCAGATCGTGTCCAGGTTAGCCGCTTGCATAAGGTTCATGAGAACGCTTTCCTCCGCCAGCGAGTTCAAGATGACCAAGTGACCTATCGAAGAGTGTCGATGAGAATATTACCACGGGTTTCCCTGGTAATTTCAACGCTCCCACACCTGGACAGACCCTTTATCACTGGACTGAACGTTAACTAGGAATCCTACGACTGGTATATTCTTGTGTTTGACTTTCATTGATTTTAGACAGCATACGCGTCCACTCACGAAAAAACTAATAAAATCAGCACATGCTTTACTCGATACCATTCAAGCCTCCGCTGAAACATTTTTTGCTACCAGTAACAATAGCGAAAAAATCAAGATGTCAAAATCGGGTGAGACACCCTGTATATCAGCTGTAGGTTTCATAGTAGTTCCATAACGGTTATAGAACCGATTCTCGTAACGATTGTACAGAATTTTACAGCAAATTACTTCTATAGATCACCGTGTACAAGTAAAATTGTTTAAAAATTATTATGAGATAGAGTGATCGTCTATAAGCGTTGTTAAAATGTCTACAGACACACACAGACCCAAGATTTCGATCTGTGAGTTTCTAAATATTGTTCTCGACGGTTACGAGTCAAGTAAAGGGACAATTTACGTTATCGAACCAGGACTGGGTCATGCTTTCATCGACATTCACCTCCGTCCATCATGCAAGTCTTGCGAACTGCGTTCCATTTCGCCTTCTTCGTGTACAATTTGTGCGCCCCGACGCCACGTGTGATCCTGTAGCCCTCTTTCATTGGCGTCGAGCTCTGGCCCATGTTGCGGCTGTTAATGTAAAACAGTTGCTGTTCAGCGTCGTAATTGTTCTGACATCTTGCCGTGTCGAGTGACGACCGACCTGAAAAATAGGGGCTGCGTTCTTTTGCTTCGAGCTGAGCTGTGCGCCGATGGTCGGACGAACCACGCGTTTGCACGACTATCGTATACAGGGTGTCCCAGAATAGCTTCGACTCCTGGAAATGAGGGGTCCTGGAATGATTTGAAGCAACTTTTTCCTTAGCAAAAATATTATTCGAGGCTTTGTTAAGGAGATATCAACGAAAAACTCCGATCAATCAGAGCGCGAGTCTTCCGGTCGAACTCTGATTGGTTGGAGTTTTTCGTTAATATCTCGTTAAGAAAGCCTCGGATAACATGTTTGCTAAGGAAAAAGTTATTTCAAATCATCCCAGGAACCCTTTATTTGCGGGAGTCAAAGCTATTTTGGGACACCCTGTACACAGAAGGTACAACCGCATGACGTGATCACTTTCAATTGTTTTACGTTCTTAGTGGATTGATTGAAATTTATTTTTCAAGTGAAACTTCTATCACCACGGTAACGTGAAAATGGTCCGATTTAGACCGTGTCTGGACTCATTTTTATCAAGAAAATTTCGTCAGTTTGTTAGAAATAATCTGTAGCAATGAAAGATACTATAACTGAAAACTTATTCACGTTCAGAATAATTAACAGTTTTAATATTTAATAAAATTGATGATAAAAAGTTTCACTTCCAACGCGTGGTATGGTTCAGAGGGGCATCTAAGATGATTACAGTATGCTGTACGATTTACAGTATCGGTCGTTTTTCATCGGTCATCTATAGCTTTTTCTTATAGATACACCTGCAATTTTTTCTATTGTTTCTCCAATACAGACGAAGCAAAAAAATATTTTGCAATGTTCGTCGAACATCGTCTCAACGTCCATTAAAAGATGGTCGTAAATAAATTGTAAATTTATCTATAAAAAAAATAATCGAAGATAACCTTGAAAACTTATAGTAAATATAGTACATAGTATAATATAATAGTCCTAAGGGCCTCTTTGTACCATATTATGCAACGTAAAAAGAAATTTCAATCGATCCTCCAGTAACAGAATAATTTATGGTGATCATGTTACATGGGTTTTATCCTGTGAACGCGTAAAACTCGCAGACCAATCGACCTGTTACTCACTTGGGTTCCAGTCACCGGCGCAAAGTACTTCGCTGGCGATAGCGAGGAGAATCAACAAGCTCCCGTACATCTCAGCGACAAGCTTTCTCACGAGCAACCTACCGAGAAAAATCAAATCGGATCAAACGGGAGTGAGAACCAGTTGTGTCGATAGGTGCCAGTTCACCTCGAACGCCGAGTGTATCGACTTCGTTTCGGGTTCGAAGTAGTTAGTCGAGGCATGTGAAGAACTTGATGACCTTCGGTTACTTAGTGACTATAGAGTTGACTTCAGATCACACTACTTTTGCGTAAACGAAGTTCTTCGACGATTTCCTACGTTCTTTCGTAAAAGAAAATTCGTCTCCTTCGCAGAGTGTCAATTATGGTACATATCTTATGTAATTACGAACAATTCTTCCAAAGACAATGACTAGCAAAAGGTGATACGAGAGAATAATTTAATTGTTTGTTAAGTGAACATGGAATATTGTTCCTGTGTATCGGTACACTATGAATCTTCCTGACAATTCAAATTTTTTTTACTAGAAATCTATAATAATAAGAAAAATTCTTTGGTAATTTAAGTACATTAAAAATTGCACTGAATCAAAATTTATGTGGTGTCGTTTAAAAAAGTGAATGTCACATTGATTTTTTTCTCGAAGAAAACGTTTCTTCACAATTTTTAATACTGTGCGTAAAACAATAATCGAGGCGTTTTATCAACCACGGAGAACGTGCTACTTAGTTTCACCCTACGCACTCCAACAACCCACAAAACCGACTATTTTCCAAACACAGAAACAATATTCCCAGTCCATGATCGAGTTCCAGGTCACTCAATACATTTCTTGTACTCTTCCGCGAAGCCTCTAGTTCTTGGCCAAACAGTTCACGAATAACCAAATAAGTCGCCAAGTCGGTTGACTCACCGTGCATAATTCTACGTATACTGCGTTTCCACCACGCAACGATTTCCGAAAACAACTTCTCAGTCGAGTAGAACACTTGCTCGAAAAATTAGGCTGTGTATTCGTGACGCGTGAACCAGCACTATAGCGAGAGATTAGGACTCCGACGGACGCACTATTGCTAACCGACCCGTAAGGATCAACTGTGAATCCTTCGTGAACCTGAAGCGTCTTGGTTCCGCTGGCGAACGCATACACGCCTCTCCCCCCATTTCGGCTCGATATCGATACTCCCCGCCCTTGTCTAGCGACGATGCTTCTTTTTCGCCAGGCATCCGAGCGTGAACAACCCAGCCAAACTGGAAAACCAGCATTCCACCATCGACTGGTTGCAACGCAGAAACCTTGAATCGAAGATGAGACTCTGACGGTGGAGGGGAAAGCAATATGTACTTAACAGGTTCTACGGCCTTCCGCCATCAGTGATGGGGATGACGCTCGGACAATAATCGTGTAGAATCACTAGGTAAATTGATCGATAATTTTGGGTAATCGACGTAATTTCTCGATCTCGAGTGGGGAATTTTGTTTTCGGTCCGATGGGACTCTTTGCACAGCTGGTTGCTAATGTCCCCGGACATCGTAGACTGTAGATACTCTACTAGAGTAGATCACGGATCAGTAAGGCTTTGATTATAGAAACCTAAGTATCCTAAAGAAAATATCTTAAGAGCAAAATACACACTAAAAAATCAAAGAATAACAACAGTATCGAAATTTCCATGGATCTTTATTAAACATAATTACTACACGACCCCTTCGTACAATAAACAAAGTTCTCCATCGATCTCTCGTTCGAACGGCCGAAACCGCCAATTGTTTAACGGGAACGATAAGCTTCGTTCAAGTTTAACAAAGGGTAAGTTCACAGAAGTACGGGTTCCTGAGATTGCAATCGACATCGTCGAGCCCGCCCTCCTTGATCAGGACACCGCAATTCTGATTACCGGCCCAATTGTCAGGTAGGTTCGGAAACTTGGTGGCCCACCTTTCGAAACCCGCGACATCGAGCGATTCTCCGGTTAAAGTGATCCACTCGCCTTCCTCGAACAGATCATGAATGCCTAACCAGGCCTCGTCGACTTTTTCCCTTTGTATCCACTCCAGCAAGAACTTCTCCTCTTCATCCGTGTTCAAGATGGCTAACCGACCTATCGAACAACAATTGTTTATTCCCTTCGGTTCCTGTATCGTCTGCGCGATCAGCTTAGCCTTTCCATTATACTTTTCATTTTTCATCATATCAGTACTATCAACTGTCACAGTTGAGCTTAACCTTTTATACTTTTCCTTATTTATTAGAATGGTAGTTGGGATTTTTCTAATTCTACGAAGATGTAAGCGACCGTAGCTAGCCTTGAAGAACTGACGAAGTGTAATCAGTTATTCTGTCATCTATTATCGATCATTTTCAGTTGTTTATGAGTTTCGAAGATCAGTCGAATTGAAGGTATTAACGATGTAAATTTAAATCGTCGATTATCTATGGTCGAACATGATTCAATCAAAGTTACCATTATGACCATTATTACCATGGTGATTTCACGACAAACATACTACTCTAATTTGTAACGAATTATTGTTCAGTAAATTTCTGCGTTATTTACAACGCAATTCAATATTTTTTTGGCAAACAATCCATTTATAGATATTCCGTGATTGGTAATAATTGTCCACCGATAACTCGAAACGCGCGATACGATGAATTGAACATACATGGTGCGAGTTATCGATCGATTCGTCTGGGTTTGTCCGACCACAGAACGAGGAAAAAGTTGGTTTTGTTTATAAAAAGCATCGACGCCTTGACCTCCGGAATAATCACCGTTCTCTTTTTACTCTTTAATTACGTCAAACTATCGCCAGCTTAAAAACTGCTTCATTTTACCGCAAACAATTGTTACACTAACAAAAAAATTTGTTTTCCAGACACTGGCTATAGAACGAATTACACAGTAATATTCCAAATGAAAGTTGTGAATAAGGTGAGCCTTTTAAATTTTAGGTTAAGTACAGTAAATCCTCGATGAGTGTCCGAAGGCTCCTCAGTACTGAACATTAAATATTTCATAAACTAATGGCCATATGTGGCTGCAACAAATACCATTGGATTCAGAATTCCAAGCTCAATCACTTTGCTGAACCTCGTTAAAAAGTCAACGTTACACCTGGCGACCTTTTCTTGTCAGTGTCAAGGGGCCTTTAATCGCTCATCGAAAACTTGCCCGAGAGTGAGATTATTCTTACGTGGGACGGAATTTAGTTTAAAAACTGTACTCACTTCCACCTGTGCAAGATTTTCTAACATGATTTCACTTTAGTTCCCGAAGTAGTTGAAAAAAGTTTCGCAGCGATATGTAAAATGAAAATTCCAAGAAAAGACAAGAATTCTGAATTTCAGTTTAAAAAAATCTTCACTGTGAATGCTAATAAATTAAAATGTTCTTTGATTAATACCTCCTTCTTCTAAGCAAGACCTTTGAGCGGCACTCCACACCTGTCTACGACTGTGGTACTTGTACGCTCCCATACCCGGCTTGATAATGTAATCGTCCCTCTCCAGAAGACTCACGCAGTTTTGGGCCCCTCTGCCTGATTTCTGCGGCGATCCGTTAATAAAAAACACCTGGTGGTTGGCGTGGTAATTATAATTACCGTTCATATTAACCGCCGATACCGTCGAATCTGGAAAAAAGTGCCTCCAAGTAAATATCTCATCTGTTTATCCTTCTCTCTATTCCTTTAATTGTTACAAAGAACGATTATTTTCGTATCTTAATCTGTGAATGTCTTGCAGCCAGTTCGTCGTTTGATTATAAAATTTCATAAAATGTAACGTAATGATCAAACTGAATTCTTTGTACACGTGTATAGTAGAGATTTTGCAACGAATTAGTTAAATTTCGTCCGACCGAGGACGGGTCATCTTCGTACTTTTTCATTCTGAGAAAGCAATGTATACTGCATGGCATAATAATAAATCCACATAATAGAACAAAACACAATTTCACGTACACAGGTGTACACAAACCGAATAAACACTATATTTACAATTTTCGAACATCAATTCTATAAGAATAAAAAAAGGAGATATTTACCTTCTTTACGATCAGTGGCAGTGGCACGAACAGTCCGATTCAGCACGGGTCTGAAGTACTCACCAATATTTGCGTCAGCGTCAGAATTACGACATGACACTTCGCACGCAACGGCGAATAGAATCAACAAATACTTATGCATCTCCTTAATGGTATTCGAAAACCAGCAATCTCCTACCTCCAAGTACACCTTCGAATATCCCGGTACTACAAAGAACCTAATCGTTCCCCTCTCAACTATAATTTGAAGGTCACCAGACTCCCTAGATGAACCGTCTCCAATCAACTGGTTCCTTCTTCAAATCGATCCAACCAAACTTAGGGTACGCGTAAAAAAGGTTGGAAATTTCACAGTCGAAATTTTGAGTCCAGAAATTTTTAATCCCTGGTCCACTCCGTCTGGTCTAGGTCAATTGATTCAACAAAATTGACTCGGCAAGAATGTTCCGAAAATTCAGAATAGAAGCTTCTTTGTCCACATCGATCACCAATTTCGACTCTATATAGGTCAGGTTCACCACGCGAAGGATGATGGTCAGCCTTGGCTCTCGAGCCTGGACTGAACTGTCAGACCGTTCGCACCGAGTGCACACTCCCCCCTCTCTTTCTCTTCATTCCCTTTTCTCCGCGAGCACGCGTTTATCTCCTGTCGGTCGGGAACGACATCACCGAACTGGAAATACCGGTAGTCTCTACAGAGACCTTGGATAGGACGTGTGCATCTTTGATAGTGAATCCACGAGGAAGATCGACCACAAGTGGAATTCCGCGTTGTGAATAGAGGCGGGGGAATTTCGATGACTCATGTGACTTTGGAGACGAAGCTCCGCGATTCTTTGTACGAACGACTTTAACCCTCGTTTACAGTAAATCATCGATGAATGTTCGAGGGTTTCTATTGATCAACGTTACAGAAGAATTGATTTTTTAGGTTTATTGGATAAAGCAGTGGTTTTTAACTGTTATGAAATCGATTTCTATTCGTGAAACAGTTATGATGAACCTTTATTCCAAATATAGTAAATCATCGATGAGTGTTCCAAGGGTCCTCGACATTGAGTGTTCAGACGTCATCCCCACCACTGGGCGCTTGACTGGTTCCACGGAGGACCTCCAGTGGCGGGGATGACGTCTGAACACTTAATGCCGAGGACCCTTTGTACACTCATCGATGATTTACTGTATTATACAATATATTGTTGATTTAAATTTAAAACTTTAATTTTAAACTTGGTCCAAGCTAAAATCGAGTGAAAGGAATAGGGGAAGAAAATTTTGAGGAAGTACCAGCTTTCCCACCGCTCCGAATATTCCCATTTTCCCCATTTCCATTTCCATCATTCCAATTTCCTTCATTTGCATTTCCGCCATTCCTGTTTCCTGCATTCGCATTTCCCCCATTTCCACTGTCAACTTTCCCACTTCTCCCATTTTCGCTTCCACTATTTCCATTTTGACCATTCCAATTTCCCCATTTTCATTTTGACAACTCCAATTTCCCCCATTTCCACTTCGACCACTTGCAGTTACACTGTTTTCATTTCAACCATTCCAATTTTACCCAATTTTCACATCTAAAATGAAGAATTAAAAGTCTCGTGTAGATACATAAGAAGAAGCCAGTTTATTGTAATGGAAATATTGCGTACGTTGCACAGAACGCGAAAAAGAGAAACAATTAATTACATCTACGTTTTGCGTTCACATTAAAAGAGTAGGATCATTAAAGTTTCAGTCGTTTCGAGTCCATGCATCCCATTAACGGGAAATTTGTATGGTCCGCTAATGCAACATTAACTTTCTCAAAGCGGAATAAAAGTTCCTAATTAGTCGGAAACTTTTCTTCCACCTTCCTGCGGATGGAAGTTCCTCCTTCCAGTTAACAGTTCCTATGAGAAAGTAAAATGAATACGT